AATAATTGGCATCAGAGCCTAACTCGTTAAGAAGGTTTAACCACCTTGAGACGATCCTCGAAGAAGCTCTACCAATTCCCGACACAACCGAGAAGATGACTTCCACCTCCAGCTCGTTCCACATGGAAGATCCCTACCAACCGACAAACCTCCATACTTCAATGGAGTTAACTATCATCATTGGAAGAAATTAATGAAGGTATTCATCCAATCCAATGATCTTGATGCATGGGAGATAATCGAGAACGACTACTCTTCTCCAAAGAAGAAGGAGAAGTGGAGTGACAAAGAACATAAGAAAGCTCAACTTAATGCTAAGGCAATGCACATGATATTGTGTGCATTTTGTCCTAAAATCTATGAAGGAGTTTCTTCGTGTTCAAGAGCAAAGAAGCTTTGGAATAAGCTTGAGGAAATCCATGGAAACAAGAAAGAAGAACCAACAAAGGTGGTGTCTCTAATGGATCGTGAAGAGCCCAAGGTATCTTCTAACTCAAATGAATTTAATTCATATACGTTTGATGAGTTACAAGATGCTTTTAATAGGTTATATTCGGAGTTTGAGACCATGAACTCCAAATATAAGAAAATGATTTCAAAATTTAAAATTGAAAACGATTTTCTTTTGAAAACAAAAATAGATTTTGAAAGCCAAAATAAAATTTTGAAAAATGATTTAGAGCTTTCAAAAATAAAAATTGAAAGTTTTGAAAAAGAAAATTTTGATTTAAAAGTTAAGCTTGAATTCTTAACAAAAGAAAAAGAAATCATTTTAAATAATTCATTTAGTTCAATAATGACAATATGCTCACATTGTCATTATCATGGTCATAAGGAGCATACTTGTCCTTTGAAGAAATGAAAACGTTTTAAAATTAGACAAGTATGGATTTTGAAAGGAACAAGGGGTATTCAAACTAACGTTCAAGGATCCAAAGAAATTTGGATACCAAAATCAAATAAATGCCTCTTGTAGGTGTGTGAGAGCAATGATGATGAAAATGATGATATTCAAGATGCTCTAGCCACACTTGAAAAAGGAATAGGTAACCTCTAAGCTTAATGCTATTAATTTTGGTTATTTGGTTGCTCATTTGATTTTAAGCATGCATGAGTTTTGGTTTTAAATGATTATGCATCATTGTTTTAATCTCATTATGTTGAAAAGATGGTTATGATGAACATTTTAAAGTTATATTAATTTTTAAGAATTTTTAGTTCATCATAATAAAATTTTGGTCAAAATTGGTTTTAATGCAAATGATATCTCTCTAACAATTGATATCAAATTTTCAAATACTTTGATTTTACAAATTTTAAATTTTTTACCTAAACTTGAAAGTTTATGCATGTGGTTTAAATGAAAAATGATATCTCTCTAACAATTGATATCAAAAATTTTGAAATGCATAATATTTTTGGAAAACTTTATGCATATGATCTTAAATTCAATAATTGGTATTGCATAAAGTATTTTAGACTTGGATTCATTGAATTTCATGTATTACTAACATGTTTGTTATTATTTGTTGAAATTCAATTTTGTTTAAGTGTCATGATCCTAAAAGCTTAATTTTGTTTGGAATGCATTTATTGAGGGGGAGCTTTGATTTTTCAAATTATTTTTAAAATTTCAAAAATACTACTTACTCTCCAAAGTTATTTTGAACATCAAAGATTGAATTATTTCTGATATAACAAAAAGGGGGAGAAGTTTTGGTTTGAAAAATTCAATTTCTTAATGAAAAAGGGGAGCTTATTATTTTCATATATTTTAAAATAATTGGTAACAATTGATATCATTTTGTTAACAATTGGTATCTTTTTCATTAAACATTTTATTAAGGGGGAGTTTTTCCAAAAACAATTTTTCAAATGTTTTGTTATATCAAAAAGGGGGAGGTTGTTGAATTATGTTTCGATATAACAAATTTAAAGGCAAAATGTTTTTGGACTTGAATTGAATTTATTCAAGGTTTTAATAAGGTTTCAAAAATAATTCAAAGTCCATTAAATTGGATTTGAGCAAAAATGCTAAAGGGTGTCAAAGTGCATCCATGCACCCCTGCAGTGCATCCATGCACCTGCACTAGTGCATCGATGCACCATGCAGTGCATCCATGCACTCCATTTCGAATGCACTTAGTGCATATATGTATCTTGATGTGCATCGATGCATCCTGCTGTGCATCGATGCATCCTACTGTGCATCGATGCATCCTGCTGTGCATCGATGCATCCTGCTGTGCATCCATGCACGAAGGCTGCAACGGCTAGTTTATTTGAATTTAATGAAGGGGTATCGATGCACCATGATAGTGCACCGATGCACCATGTTATGGGCAGCCTTTTGGAGTAGAAAAATCATCCCCAAACGGCTCCAAAACATCCCCAAGGGCTATATACAACATCAAACACATTCCAAGCTATAAATACAAGCTAATGACACTTGAAGAAGCAAGAGAACAACTATCCAAGCAATCAAACACAAGAGAAGAGTTTTTTCATTCTTATTTCATCTTTCTCTTGTAAATATTTTGTTCTTGTGAGCTCAATCTTGTAAACACCTACCTTAGAGAGGTTTTCTTGTTTACTTATTTTATCTTTTTGTAAAGGGGAAAGGTTCTAGCTTATCCCGTGTAAAAGCTAGGGAAAGGTTCTAGTTTAGCCCGGAAAAACTAGGGAGTTGTAAGGTTATCTCTTTGTCCTCAAAAGAAAGAGCAAATAGTGAATTTGTTGGAAAATCCTTGTTGAGGAGCTAAGGTAGTGGACGTAGACTTTGGTTTAGAAAGTCGAACCACTCTAAATCGCTGTGCAATTTTCTATCTTTCAATCTCCTTACTCCCTAAACTCAAAAACCGTTCTGACCCCTCTTTACAAAACGTTCCAGTTGTCGAATCGAACTTCTGAAAATCCCAACATAAGGGTCATAAAGAAGGCTTAGAACATGCTAAAAACATCAAACATGAAATCTACCATGAATGCTTACACAAGCTTAATACTCAACTCCACAACAGAATGTATCCCTAATGACTCACAAATGGTATGAAAGAGTTGTAAATTTGTTACCTTAGCTTCCTAACAACTGGAAACTCCTTCAAATCACCCAAGGTGCAAGTTTCCCTTCCCTTTGAACTTAGAGCCTTCTCCCACCTCTTGTAATAATAAAAAAAGGTATATGAGTTACTAACTCATTTAAAAGCTTATGAAGGAGTCAAAACATTTCCTATAACTAAAATCTCTCCAAAATTAGGTTGATTCCCTGAAACCTTAAACCCCTACTAAACCCATATTTGGCTATAAATGTTTAAACCTTGTGTTTGGGGGCTTAATTTGAAGCTCTTGAAGTGGTGGTTTATATTCTTACCTTAGAATCCTTGGACTATGGTTGAAGAACTAAAAGCTTTCACCTTTGTTCAACTCTTGGAGAGGAAAGGAAATGAGAGAATAAAGAAAGAAGACAAGGGAATGTGGTGGAAATGAGGAAGGGAAATCTGACGTGATTCATCAAACTATTAAGGGGATTCAACTTTTATTTCAAACATGAGTCTAATTGCTCTTTTGGTCCTCCACTTCTTTGCTAAGGTTAAAACACCATTTTTATCTCATATTGGACTTAAACCAAGCCCAGAACCACTCAAATTAGGGCCAAGGTCTCCTATAAGCTAAATTATTCATTTTGAGGCCCTAATGGTTAAGCCCGAAACTCTTAACCCGAGATTTGGGGCGTTACATACATTGTTTCTCTCAACTGTGTAATGGTGTTGTATTTAAGATGACTTGGCAATTATTATCTTTAATTTGTTGTTGATATATGCTAATATGTATTTCAATGCCTTAAATTGTTAAGTTGCTTTGTTGAAGTACCATTTACAATAAGATGTTATAGAAAAGTGTTTATAATCAGTTGTAATCGTAATTTTCTATTTAAAATTCGTTTAATAAAATCTTGTAAGATAATATTTCATATTCTCTCAATTAATTTCATCTTATAGATTTTTCTATTGATTCTTAACTCATCATTAAAAACCAAGATTTTGAAACTAAAGAAATCAATAAAATTGTTTGGCCATATAGGTTATCAAGGTGGAGAATTTAGGTATTTATATTGGATTATAAAGCTTTGGCAAATTAAAGAAGATGACCAATCGAGAAATTATTGTAGAGGAAAAAGAAAAAGGATAGGAAATTTGAGGTTTTAACCAAATATTTAAGATGATGACCAAATTGATAGAATTTAGAACAAATTGATAAAATGCATAAGTTTAAAGACTAAAATTGTTAATATACCAAACTACATCATCTTTGTTGTTTTTTTAATCGGTGACCAAAATAAAAACGAAACGTGACATTAGGCATAACTTTATCCAAAAAATAATTAAATAACTAAAAAAATATATGAATAGATCACGTACCAAATAGACAATTTACCTTAAAATATTCAAACTAAGAATGTAATTTTTACTTTATACAATAGTAATTAAATTTCAAGTAGTCAAAATTAATTACAGGGGTGTATCTAAGGGTGGGCCTACCTAGGCCATGGTCCACCCCAAACCTCAAAAAAATTTTCTTAAATGAGTATATATAAGTTATATTTAAAAATTATATTAATCTAGTAGATATATTTTTTAGATTCATTTTAAATATATAGTTATTATTATGTTTTTAAATTAAAAAATTTATTAATTATGCATAATTTTTCATTATATATATATATATTGGTCCATCCAATATCTTTTTTCTGTATTGGTGGCTGCTGTTTACGCATTTCTCAATCTTATTTAGAAGCCAATTCTTGAGGTCGGTTATATATATGTATTGTTTGGAAGGAAAAAAACCTTTGTCTTGTTCTTGCATGAATGTAGCGTAAATGCTTCGATAAGTAAACTCGACACACTCTATCCAGTCGTGTTTTGTCGGCCGAATAGAAATATCAACCCAATTTTCTCCTTGTTTGGGGTTCAATTCAATCAAGAATTGGTCAATTTAGTTCTCAAATGTCTTACAATATTTCAGTTTCTGAAGGGTCTTCTTCCTTCAGCCGCTATAAAATGGTTTCTCCGGCGACGTTGGACGAGCACTTACTCTTTGATCTTCCTTTCTCTCCTCTCTACGAAGATTCATCCGATTACAATCTTCAAGCTTTGATGAACCAACAAAACCCAATCGATGAATCCACTTGTTCTTCAGATCAATTGGTTTCATTTTCAGGGCCACCGTTAACGGACCAGCTTGAAAATCTCAGCCTTTATCAGACCAACCACTTTCAATCTCTTTCATTTGATCCAAATGTAGGAAACGGGTACCGGAGCTTCAGAAGCTTGAATTTTGCAGCAGTTAAACATGAACAATGTCAAATGGATTTCGATTCAGCTTACAGTACTGATGTAGAAAATGCAGCAAATTCTTCTGAAGCAGAGTCTAACTCTTTATTCCGACCTCTTTTTGATTCTCTCATAGATTCACAGAATTTCCCAGGGGAAGCCGCGTCCAGCTTGCCGGAGAACACCTTTTTCGCCGGACATATGAGGAAGGTTTCCAGCACTGGCTACTTAGTGGTATCCATTTCTTGACTCTTTTCTTTTTCCTTTACTTTTAGCATAATAAGAAGGGTAAGCTAAATATCTAGTCACTCAATTATTCTCGTGATTCCATTTTGGTCATTTAATTATTTATCTTCAAAATCATATCTAATATTACATTTTAGTCATTCACCATTAAAAATTAACGTTGATGTAATTGTGTCATCATAAGATAATATCACATAATCAATAAAAAATTATCACGTCATTAGTTTTATTAGTTTTTTAATGGAGGGTGATCAAAATTTAACCACAATCTAACATTATGTATGATTTAAAAAAACATTGGGTGACCAAAACAAAACCCCATGAATAATTGGATGACTAAATATATAGTTTACCCTAATACAAAAAATGTCTCTAACATTTAATTAAATACTTATTTTAGTTTTTTATTCTTTTTTTCTTTTAGAGAATTTTAGCCCACAATATTTTATTTTCAGATAAAAAACTCTTAATATTTAATTAAATAATCATTTTAACCCAAATTATATTTTTAGAATATTTTGACCCTAAACGTTTATTTCAAGGTAAAATAGCTCATATTTTGAAATATTGATCCTTTGTTAGATAATAAATTTTATCTGTTAAAGGGGTTTTTATCTTAAAATAAAATATCAATTATTAAAATATTAAAAAGATTAAAGTAATTATTTATTCAGTTATATATATACTGTGCCTTTGTTTTTGTTTATTACATCAACTGGAATCTTATTTGTTGTTGGCAATTTAGAATATGAGAAACGTGAGTGGCAACCAAAGGTCAAATCAAAGCACATTAACAGTAGAGAAGTCGTTAATGGAGGAAGCGCCGTTCAAAGTGGGGCGATACAACCCAGAAGAGAGACAAGAGAGGATTTCAAAGTACAGAGCAAAGCGTAATCTAAGGAACTTCAACAAAACAATTAAGGTTTTCTCCTCTTCTTTTTTTTTATTAAAAAAAAAAATCAAAATGAGCAATTACTGTTTTCGTTTGATTACTGCACTAATTTGTTCGATTGTGTTATAAAGTATGCATGCCGGAAAACACTGGCAGACAACCGTCCCCGTATACGTGGCAGATTCACCCGCAACGATGAAAATGTGGAGACCCCCAAAGCAACATGTAATTCAAACAGAGTTTCTGAGTATAATTGGTTGTTCCAAAAGCATCTTTCTCGTTTTTCAAAATCTGTTTTCAGCAAAATAAACGAAGCCGATGGGTTAATTTATGATAAAAGACGTGAAAATTGTAACTCTTTTCCCATTTTAATTAATGCATTGATTTGCAGGGTTGCATGAGGTGGAGGATGAGATAATGGAAAGAGGAGCTTTTAACGACAGTTTCAGCCAGTATCACCATCACCATGCTTACTTTTGAAAGCTTTAGGAAGATAGCATTTCGTAGGCTCTATTTAGGAGTTGGGTACATCTCGTATCAAAATCTCATTCTGTGACTGAAAATTTTAAGTGTTTTAATCCCAAATGGAACCTTTGTAAGTTCATACCGCAATTTATGAGAGAGGAAAATGTAACTCCAGAGAGTAAGAATAAACATATCAAAATTTTGAAATGATTAGAGAATTTTGTTTTAAATCAATATTTAATCTATTGATCGATTAATCTATAATTATATATTGCATATTATAAGATACTACCTCCCAATCTATTTTGTTATATTCATAATATCAAGATTTAAACTTTTGACATTAGTTAAAGAGATACAATATCTCATCCGTTAAATCAATTTATTGTTGGCGCCTTATTTTTCTTTAATAATTACACAAAAAAAGTGAAAAACTATTTCCACTTTGTTCTAGCAGGGGGTCAGCCTCTTAAATCAATTTGCTCTCTTTAAAAGTTAAAATTTAAACTTTAAATAAATAATTTAATAAATCTCACTAGATCAACTAATAATTGATATACTATTTTTTTTAATAATTATAAAAACAATAAAAGTTATTCCCACATTTTTTTAATAAAATTCCAAGTATCCTTGTACGTTATATGGCCATCAATGATAAATATTATGACTTGAAATCTTTGACCTCAAGATATGATGCGATGCACTCATGATAATGCTCTATCACAACACAATTTTGTAGTTTAATGAAATTATGCTTCTTTCAACCAGGAAGTGCACATACTTTAAAATTAAATGATGAAGTTTATGCCATTATTTTAATCTCACAATATTATTCAAGGGAGTAAACTAATTATAAAACACCATCCTTATTGGTTGTTGATTTGAACTTGGAATCTTCTTTACATTTATGGTAGCCGCTCACTCTTATAGTTCATTCTTTGTATGAAGTGGCTGACAGTAATCAATACACACTTTGAAAAGTTCAAATTTTAGTATATACATACAATGATCATGTCAAATAACTTTACAGAGAAAAATGACATTCGATTGGAGATGTTCATATGATTATTTACCAGCACAATATACCTATAATTTTTCCTTTCATTTATTTTAAAGCAATTGATGGAAAATGGTTATACTAAAATCCATAATCATGGATATATATATATATATATAATATTATTATTATTATTATAAAGTATAATATAATATTAAGTGGTCAATTATGTTATATGTATCATAGGTATTATAGTGTCATAAAAATAAAAATGTAAATATTAATTATGTTACATGATGTTATTTTTTTGGAATATCACAACCATATTTGTGTTCTCCATCAATAGATTTGGGTATGCTTTTGTAAATTTAATATTATAGTTTGTTATTAATGATTTGATATAATTAGATCTTAAATTTGGATGGAGACAAATAAATATTATAGATGATGGACGTCAAATTAAAAAAAATACTTTGATTGCTATTGTACATTCGAGTTTTTTTATTTTATGTATATTTTTTTTATGAATACCGTCCTTAAAGTTTTCTATGTGATTAGTTACATTGTTAAAGATATATTAAAAAAACAAGAATCATCGCCGGAAATCAACAGCCAAATGATAATGGGTTTATGAAATTTATATTAATAGAAATGATATACATTCATTAGATATATGGATTGGTAGTCAAACTCTACTTTGCTTTGTCAATTAGTGTGGATAGTGGCTTCATAATTCATACTTGAATGGGAAAGAAACTAGGCAGAAATATTAGAACAAGACTTTGAAAGGGAATATATATATTAGATTAGAGAGGCAAAGGTAATGAAATTTCCAATAAAATAACAGTTAAGGCAGAGGAGTTTCCAAGTGTATAGGATTGGTTTGTTTATTATAAGGATTGGTTTGTTTATTATAAGGATTGTTAGTGTAGTCAAATCCAGTGCATAATGATGCCTTCTCATTGGAGAGAGTGGGCGGCATGAAACATGATTCCGTCTATGGAAAATCCTTTGATCATTATCGTTCCACTTACACTATATTTTACATCTCCGGTTCGTAAATAAAAAAAATATTAATCTCAAGTGAATTCTCTTCACTCTAATAGTTCATCTAAGTGCATTTAAACCCCATGAACTAGCCACGTATATACATATACTGTAAATATTGACTTATACATCACGCTACCCTGACCCTCAATTTGATTAGTGAGATTTGGAGCTATCTTTTATTAGCAAGAATGTTGATCTTCATCGTCTAACTTTATCAACTCTTCTTGGACTCCTAAGTTTGCTGCATTATTTGATGTGAAAGCTGCTAAGGTCCGCTAGGGTTTTTCCAGTAATCTGGCTGTTCATGCTTGCTTCTTAAAAGGGCTATGTTACTTCTTAGTTCGCATAAAATAAATTGTTTTTGTTGTATCATGAGATAATTAAAAGATATAGATAAGTTTCAAAATCATAATTATTAGTGTTGAATTCAGATACACAAACTATTTGTAACATGTAAGTTGTGATGTGATAACATGTTATACCATTCTACAAACACGATATTGGAAGAAAAAAAACTATAATATGAAAATATAACAGGTTAACATATCACTAGTATTTTTTAATTAAAAACTATATGATTTAAAGTATGATTTATTTATAAGAAAATTTTAGTATTTGTTGCGGAAGACGGCTATTGGATAGAGCAAAATCGCAACTGATAATTTGAAAAAATAAAAATGAAGATAAAAGAGACACAAATTTTACGTGGAAAATCCCTAAATAATATAGGGTAAAAACCACGGGCAACGGTAGAAGAATTTCACTATGAGAAAATAGGAATTACAACTTCTCTCGATCTACCAAGAAAAAAACAATGATAATTCTCTCTAGATAAAAAGGAGAAAACAACTCTCAAGAAAACTCTCTAAATTCTCTAGTATTGGAAGAAAGCTAGAATGCTTTGAGATGGTTTTGAAGCTAAATGAGCTAGGGTATTTATAGTTGAAGCTTTAAGGACTAATTTGTAAATACTCTAAATTATAATGGCTAAATTTGAGGTTCTACCATTTCCAAAATTTAGCAAAATCAAGCTCCTTTTTTACTACACAATTCGGTGGAGATAATTTTTTTTTTCAACATTTGCATGCTACTTTCGGTGCATGCATATTAAATTTTCAACAGTATTAACCCTTAAAAGATAATTAATATAAAATGATTTATTTTTATACACAAGTTATATAAAAATTATTTTATATAATTTATCTATTTTAATTCTAAATTACAAATCTTTAAGTCTTAAAATAGAAAACATAAGAATCCTAAAAAATTTTAGGATAAATACATAAATTATCAAAAGAATTATAAATAAAATTTCATAATGAATATCATCAATAAAATAAACTAACATGAAAAAGTTAAATTTTAAGATGTACATTTATCCACTTTGAACTACACTCAAGTAAAAGGCAATTCAAAGAGATTATACAGCAAATGCACTTTATTATTTCAGAATCTAGACATTAAACTATCATCATCTTCTTTAAAGTCATCAAATGCTTTTTCTTCTTAAAACACTAAAGGTTCTTCCACAGCGCTAATCTTTGTGTGAACACACACACAAACACATACACACTTATCGTAAAGATAGGAGCCGACGGTAGAGAAAACCAATAAATAATAAAGCTCAGACAAAGCAGATGTAAAGTGAAAGCATGTCACTCCCAGGTGTCAAGCTGATTAAACCGTCAATTTATATTCTTATCAAGTCAAATATTCTTTATATGATATTTATCAGAATTTACATAATTAATCATACACGCAATTTTATCAAGATTGGGCGATTGCACGTAAAAAGAATATATATATCCTGTCAATCACAACATCTTTCCCATAAACAAATTGTTACTTGTTACGCCCACGAGAGGTTGGTATAACTTATTAGAATTTAAAAATTTGAGTTTGTAAGGTTAATTTAGAATCTTGTCATTGTTATTTTTTATGAGTAATCTATAAATTTCTATGTAAATTTCAATTGAATCTTAAATATATCTTAACTCTACACTGAAAGAATCACCCCTAACTTAAACTTTATTGTACCAAGAAAATTTGTTACTTGCTAGGAAGTGATTAAGTGTTTAAAGTTATAAAATAATTAATATATTACTATAGATAATATTAAAAGGATATGAATTATTCTTTTTATTTGAAACAAATTATTTATTTGTCTTTATTTATTCATTTATCTCAATTTTATTTTTAATTATGGAAATTTTATCATTGTCATTTATCCCTACACTAATATTATAAATATATGATAAGTGATTAAGAAATACAAGTTAGATATTAACTAAAATTTCAATAAAAATTTAAGTTTAAATTTATTGTAATTTTATTAGTTGAAGATTACTTGTTGATTAATTTTATTTATTTAAAATTTCTTGTGGAATAAGAATTATTGAAGACCAAATATTTAGATTTATAAGTATAAAGTAGGTCTTAGCCTTTAGAATTAATGAGAGAATTATTTTTGAGATAATGTAATCCTTTTGTTGTCTCTGCAATTTTTTATGTTTATGTTGCAGAGATGTATCCAGAATACTATCACAGGTCAGACATTGATTGCTTAGATGCAATCCCTTGTATGCCTTAGAAGGCTCCCTTCGGGTGTCTCGTCTAAGCTTTCTTGGCGCTACCTCCGATACTATGGTGACTCTAATGATGAACATCCATGGCAACGATATCCATTAAGAAGTGATTCACTCCAACAATGCATTTTACACCAATTGTTCAACACAAGACATAAATCGATGATTCCCTGGATGGGCACGTCATCACGCACCGCCTAGACCTCATTTTGATGCCCATTTCTTTGTGCAAATTGGTCTAGTATCCCTTTCCTAACTACATCTTCTACTACATTGTTAAGTTTCTTGTTGTACTTCCTTTCACCGAAAATCGCACTTTCAGTGCTACTTCTTCACATTCGAATTTTTAAAGATCAAAGCCTCTAGATGAACTCTTGAAATGA